TTTCAGTTGGAGTTGTCAGATACCAACCATAACAGAAAAGTCCATAAAGGATTCAGGTTTGCCTGGATCCAGGAGTTCAAATGATGCCACAAGAGATTTCTTGATAATCTCTTTTTATTACCAAGAAAACAACTATTTCATTGTCAGCTAAGTTTTCCCCAAAAGGTGACAAGATAACCACTAACACCTCCAAGTGTATGTCCTACTTGGTTAGCCATCCCAGGGGGAATAATCAAAAAAGTAATGAATATTGGGCAGACAAGGTTAATAGTGAACCTGTACAAGGTGGGCTGGAACCATAGGTAATGGATGAATCACATGCATGATATAGTGCCTGTGAGTGGCCTTATCCTGTTAAAGAGTTGTATGCAAGCCCATCAATTCAGTAAACCTTTCCTGAAAATTTATTATGTGCAAGGTCTAGCACTTGCCTAATATGTATACAGAAAGACATTTCTCTGCCATTGCTTCCTTTCTATAGAAGTACAATAAACTGTGTGTGTTTTTTTGCTGGGGATAAAACCCAGGGCCTCATGCACACCAGGCAAGCACTCTACCACTGAGCTATACCAAACTCCTATTCATTTCCCAGAAATCAGCTCTGATGTCATCTGCCATGAAGCTTTCTCTTCCACTGGTCACCCTCTGCCTACCTCTGAACTTGGTACATTATGTCCCTAATGAATTGATTATTCTGTCTTCCCACTAATGAGTGGCAACTTGCCACTCATTCATCTCTGTATTCTTAGGACATAGAAGTTGCTAAAAGGTGCTGACCTGAATTAAAATGTATTCCCAGGCTGGATGCTGGTGGCTCATGCCTGTAATCCCAGCTACTCAGGAAGCAGAGATTAGGAGGATTCGAGGTTCAAAGCCAGCCCCAGGCAAATAGTTCAAGCAACCCTATCTCCAAAATACCGAACACCAAATAGAGCTGGTAAAGTGGCTCAAGAGGTAAGAGTGCCTTCCTAGCAAGCCTGAGGCCCTGAGTTCAAACCCCCAGTACTGCCATAAATAAATAAATTTCTTCCCAGGTTTCTTCCTGCTCAGTTTTTCTTTCAAGAGCTGGTTTGCCACTACCTTGGTTCAACTGAATTAATACATACTGGATAGTGTTAGACTGGGGGTTGAGAAGATACATTTCAAATTCAGCATTCTCTAAAGACTCCAGTACTATCAGAATCTTATTGACTGAAAAAAAGCTCACTCCTAGAATCTACTCTGTTTACATCCCTCCTGACTGGAAGCCAGAGAGAGAGAATGTGTGTGTTGTTGGGGATTGAACCCAGTACCTCAAATATGCTATGAAAGTGCTCCACCACTGAGTTACGTCTCCAGAGTGACAAGAGCACATTTATGTTGAATTGGACTCCAGATTTCCATTTGTCCAGGCTTGGACACTATTCTGTCTTTCATACTCTCTGATACTGTTAACAAATCCTGTTGACTTTACCTTTAAATCCAGAATCCAACCATGTTTTACCCAGACCATGGCCATGGCTTCCTGTCTCATTTTCCTGCTTCCAGCCCTACATTTGATCCCCAACACTGGGCAGAGGAAAGTTCAAAGCCTCAGTGTCCCCTGTCTCATTAATAGTAAAAGCCACAGAACTCTACATGAACCATCCCTTCTGTTTTCATCTCATGTCTGCTCCACCTAAGCCATACTGGCCTCCTTGTTACTGTTCCTGAAGGTGTAGCCCAGACTAGCCAATCCTCCTGCCTCATTCTCTTCAGTTCCCTAATTACCAGCATGTGCTACCATGCCCGCTTCTTTGTTATTCCTCAAACACACCAGACACACTTGTGCCTGAGGGCCCTTGCACTGACACTTTCCCTGGAATCCCACTCTCTAGATATCTGTGTGACTGACTCATTCTCAGTGAAGCCTACTCTGCCCACCCTATTTAAAATTGCAACCCCAACCCTCCTTTCCTGTTTTTCTTCCACACCATTCTGTTCTAAATTTTGTTATATCTATCTCCTCCCACCTGACTGTAAGCTCTGTACATATCTGTTAATTATGTAACTCACTCAATTAATATTGATGTCTACTATGCACCAAGCACTGTATGAAGCAATGGAGCCACAGGTGATTAAAGTTGCTTATAAGTTTTGTGAGGAAAGAAATGCTGACAATAGTAGTGCTCATTTATAGAATCCTGTTTGAGGGCTGGCAGAGTGGCTCAAGTGATAAGAGTGCTTGTCTAGCAAGCATGAGGCCCTGAGTTCAAACCCCGTTACCTATGTACCCCCCCAAAAAAAAGACTGCTTCCTGAGTTGGGTGCTTGCAAAACATAACAATGATGGCCACATTGATTAAAATAGTTTTACATACATTATCTCATTTAATTCTCACCAAGACTTACGGGTGAATGTTACTAAGACCCAAGAAATGGGGGGGGGGTGTGTGTGTGTTACTGAGGTTTATCACTTTGATTCATACCCCCACCCCTAAGAAACAGGATGTCAAAACTCAGAAATATCAGAATCAAGATCTGAACTAAGATAGTGAAAGTCAAATATGAGAAATACTTAGAACTTTGGGTCAGCAAGACTAAGTCAAAGATTGGATATGGGGGCTGAGGAAAAGGGGAAGTGACTCCCAGGATTTGACTGAGGTGGACCAAAGTACTAGAAAGCCCAAGGGAAAGATGAAAACCCGGGGATGCATTGAGTTGGACGTGCGTGAGGGCTGCAGATAAACGGATACAGATCATCCCTCCAGCAGGTTCCGGCCTCTCCCCCGAGCCTGAGATGCTGGGAGAAGGTTCGCACGCACGGGAAGAACAGGAGGTCGGGTCCGCCTACCTCTCGGGTCTCTTCAGCAGCTGCTGCGGCAAGGGCGTGGAGGCCCGCGAGACAAAGAGCGCTCAGGCACCGCCTTTATCTGGGTGGCCCCTTTAAGAAGCGCGCTCCCGGCTCCTTGTATGCAAATTTCGCGGCGAGGCCGGCGAGCGCGCGCGACGGATACCCGGAGCCTGGGCTGCGGCTGTTAGTCCTCTCCCGGCCGCCGTCGCCTCCGACATATTGCCCGCAGGAGCTGCGGCGGCGAAGCGGAGAGCGCCGGGAGAAGGAGATGGGTGAGCAATGCGTACCGGGCTCCTCCCGGGAACCAGCGGACGCGGGGCCCAGGGTGCGGAGCTGCTTATCGCGGCTCCACGCGGACTGGGTCCGCAGAGGGAAAGGGGAGGGGGAGGGGATGCGGGCGCAGGCGGGACCCCGCCCCCTCCTGTAGTTTAGCGGGGTGGGACATCTGTTGTGGGGATGAGGGAGAGGGACATTGGGTGGTGGGCGGGGCTTCCGCAATGTGGAGTGTTTGTGGGGGCTTCGGTTTTGGTGAGGACCCACTGGTCCTGCTACAAATGGGGGCGGAACTCGCTGATGGGCATGGCTTCACGCTAAGGGAGGAGCTTCTGGACTGCAGGCGCCGGTGCGGGGGCAAACTTTCTGAGGTTGTATGGGATTATACTGGAGGTGAGAAGGAGACCTTCCTCCAGACCAAGGGAACCCATTCTTTTGAGCAGGGCTTTTGGGCTTTGGGGACTTTTCTGGGTGTGTGCGCGGGTTTTCTGCGATGACAGTTGTGTGTAGGCGGGGCTTCTGGGCTGAGGGGCTCTTATGTAGGTGCAGAGCTTCAAGAGAGTGGGTGTGGGCAGAGCTTTTGAGCTGAGAAAGTTTGTGTGAGGTTTTCCAAGCCAAGTCTAACAGCATACGAACAGAGCTTCTGGTCTGGGGGTTTGTTGAGGCCAAAGCTCCTGAATGAGCACTTTTTGGAGATGTGGGAGAACCTTGTGAGCTGAGGAGGCATGGGCTGTATGTGAGTGGAGGCTGCTGTTGTCATGAGTGTGGGCAAGTTATAACTTCGATTAAGTGCTTTGTGCAGGATGGTACCTTTAATCTTGAGCTGGACTGCTAAACCTAGGGATATAGGTTGTAAATCCGAGGTTTGGGTCCACAACTACAGCTTATCCCTATCCCTGAACTCAGGCCTTTGGTCATGAGACACCAGGGTCATGAGAAACCTGTATCCACATGGGGCCCCATGCAAACCAGAGCTGAGAGCTCAGAACTCAGACCCTTACACTGCCTCTGATGCAGTGAGAGCTCCGTTTCCTAATCCAAAAGTCCTATCTTGCTGAGCTCATTCACTCATCAACTTATACTTACTGGGCATTTTGGTTGGGATAGGAAAAACATCAGGGAAAAAGACAGATAAGGACTTGGTGTGGTGATACATGCCTGTAATCCCAGTACTTGGGAGGCTGAGGCAAGAGGGTTGTTGAGTTTGAGGCCAGCCTGAGCTACATAGCAAGACGCTGTCATTTAAAAACAGAAACATAAGGTTTCTGGGCAGTAGTGGCTCAGGCCTGTAATCCTAGCTACTCAGGAGGCAGAGATCAGGAGGATTGAGGTTTGAAGCTAGCTCGGGCAAATAGCTTGTGAGAGAGACCCTGTCTTGAAAAAAAGAACATCACAGAAAAGGGCTGGTGGAGTGGCTCAAGGTGTAGGCCCTGAGTTCACACCCAGTACAAAAAACAAAACAAAAAAACAGATAAGTTATTGACTTAACTGGCCTTCCATTTTAGTAGGAAAGATAGATAATAAACATGTTCAGAAATTAATATGATAATTTCAAAGAGCAAACTGTGAAAAAAAATACAAATAGGATAGTGAATGATGGGGCATCTCCTTCAAAAGTGGCAGTAAGGGCTGATGGTGTAGCTTAGTGTACCGCACATGCTTAGCATTCATAAGGTCCTGGTTTGATACCCCAAACTGCAAAAAAAAAAAAAATGTAAAAGAGCTGGGTATGGTGGCACACATCTTTAATCCCAGTTACCCAGGAGGCAGAGATAGGAGGACCATGGTCCAAGGCCAGGCAAAAATGCATGACCCTATCTGAAAAACAAACTAAAAGAAAAAGTACCATGGGCTTGGCTCAAGTAGGTCCTAAGTTCAATTTGCAGTAACACACACACACACACAAAATGTAAATAGATAGAAATTTTAAAAAGAAGAAAATAAAATGATAAATATGTCAGCCAGAGAAGGGCTCTCCAGACAGAGGATACAGCAAATGCAAGAGGTGATAATAAGCTTGGCTTGCTAAGGAAAGAAAGGCCAAGGTAGCTGGAGCATGGGGTGGAGTGGGAGGTGAGGCAGAAAATGGTAGGAGATGAGGCTGAAGAGGTAGGCAAGGGCCACAACATAGGTCCCCATAAGGATTATCAGGTAACTGTTAGCTAGTGTCATTGCTGATATCCTTGTATGCCCTCTTCCTTGAGCATCTATTTTATGTTGAGCCCTACAGGAGGACGAAGAGGTCCCAACAGGACATCTTACTGTCGAAATCCACTCTGTGAGCCAGGATCCTCAGGGAGTTCCGGTGGAAGCCACACTTCCAGTGCATCAGTGACCAGTGTCCGTTCCCGTACCAGGTAAGCTACCTCTGCCTCTCACCTTGCACTGTGCCAGCATAGGCCAGGATCTCCAGACTGGACTCTAGGCTATGATGTCCTAGATGCTAGGTGAGGGCTAAAAGGGGAGTGAGTAGCAGAAAAGGTCCAGAGGGAGCTCAATCAAGCATGGTCACTTGGACAGATAACAGTGGGACATGGTAGAATAAGCCTAAAGGCCTTGATTACAATTACATTTCTGCTCCTGATTGGCAGGTGGTTTGGACAAATTGCCTTCTTTGAGTGGGCTTCCTTTTCCTCATCTGTAAAATAGACCTAATAACTCCTTCCTGGGAGATGGTGGAAAACCTGAATGAAATTAGGGAAAGAAAAGACTTTGTTAGCTCCTTTACCTGCCAGGCAAGATTAGGACAACTTCATCCTTGTTGTGAACTGCTTTTGTGATCTAACCCCACAAACTCCACAGTCTTGTTAAGGTTCTCTGATTGGCTTCTGATGTTACTCCCTTTCCACCCCCAGGAGCAGTTCTGGGACAGGCCTCTCAAGCCCTCCACTGGCCACCCAGACAGTTGTGCCTCTGCAGCACTGCAAGATTCCTGAGCTCCCAGTCCAGGCCAGCATTCTGTTTGAGTTGCAGCTCTTCTTCTGCCAGCTCATAGCCCTCTTTGTACACTACATCAACATCTACAAGACAGTGTGGTGGTATCCACCCTCCCACCCACCCTCCCACACCTCCCTGGTAAGTGCTCAGCCAGGGCCAGCTCTGTGTGTGTGTGTGTGTGTGTGTGTGTGTGTGTGTGTGTTTCTTGGTTTCAGTTTAGCATAGCCTACCAAGCACCACTGGTCATGTGGCCCCATGCTGGGCATGGTGGGCGTAAAGGAACAGGAAACTGATGACTCTTTAACACTCCTAGTGTGCTCAGGACCACACTGGCATTGTAAGAGTAGCAGAGTGGAATCTGGCACAGACTTTGCCTCAAGGAGCTCAGAGTCTTAAGTCCTGTCCAGGAGATGAGCCACAGGAACACAGGGGTCCACAGGATAGAAAGAGCCCTGGGCAGAAGAAGAGGTATAGGGACAGGGCATGGATATGGAGAGCGAGAGGGCTCACACACCATTCTCTTATTCCCAGGGACTGTCCCACTTCCCTTCTCTGGGTCCTGTTCTACTCCTCTAGGTAATTTCCTGGCCTGACTCAGCTGGAGGCCAATGAAGGTCAGAGAATGGGGACAGTCTCTGTGGAAAGGACTGGGCAGAGGGAGGTGGTGGGTATGAGAAAAGCCCATGTATGGACAAGGGGCCCACGTGACCCCCAGGCCTCTGCCCCCTGACAGAACTTCCACCTGATCGACTTCAACTTGCTGATGGTGACCACCATTGTTCTGGGCCGCCGCTTCATTGGGTCCATCGTGAAGGAGGTGATTGGGTCCTAGAGGATGCCAGAGTCTTTGGGACTCCCTTTTCCCCCTGGGAGTGCCAAGGAGACACACCCAACCCTTTAACCCTGAGGCATTTCTTTGGGGCTCCCTTTGGACTTGTTTGAAGAATATTAGTCACGTCCCATTTGCTCTCAGAATTTACTGGGCATCAAAGAGAAGGATTCACCTTGCCAAGTTCTGCCCAGCCTGCTGCACAACTTTCCCTGGGTGGGATCACAGGTCATGCTGGGTGGGATTTGGGGATAGCTCCTGTGGCCTCCATCCAAGGCCCTATTCCATCCTATCTCATCCTGACCCAGGCTTCTCAGAGGGGGAAAGTTTCCCTCTTTCGCTCCATCCTGCTGTTCCTCACCCGCTTCACCGTTCTCACGGCAACAGGCTGGAGTCTGTGCCGATCCCTCATCCACCTCTTCAGGACCTACTCCTTCCTGAACCTCCTGTTCCTCTGCTATCCGTGAGTACCCCTCGCTTTACCCCTCACTGCCTAGCACTGGCCTCTAACCTCTTCCCTTGATGTGGCTGGGTTATCAGGCACCCCGGGCTGGCAGCTATTATAATAACCTCTCACATGGTCTGATGACATCCCCTGAGATCAGGATGATTAGTTTCTTTTGTATAAGAATCTGAGGCAGCATAATTTACTAAAGCTCCCACTGGATGGAGTTTAGAATGGGACTCAGTTTGTGCCAAAGGGATGTTCCCAAAGGGAAATGCATGAGCTTTGTCTCCCTCTGTCTTCCTTTTCTCTCTCTCTGGTTCCTTTCTCTTTCTTTCTTTGTGTGTGTATCTAAGTGTTTGTGTAATCTCTGGTGCCTCCCCTAGTCTGTGTGCTGGCAAGCACCTGCATGTTTGCATTCTCTAGGTGTCTGTGCATGAAACACACCTGTGTATGTGTGTCTTGCTGTTTGTTAACTCACTCACTCCTTCTATTTAACAGAACCTAGATTGTTGACAATGGAGAGAGTGTCTGGGAAGATCCCAGGACTGCCCGTTTCTGGCCTAGAATCAAGGAGGGCTTGAGCGAACTGTCTGATTTGACTGCCTGAGGCAGGCTCCTGGTTGCCTCAGCATTACAGTCATTTCCCCAACCATGGCCTTTCTGGTTAATGAACTTTCTCAAGTTGGGCAAACCTAAGTTCCTAGGAAGCGTTAGAGCAAGGTAGTCCTCCCCTCTACTCTGCATGACTAAGAAAGTTCTGGCATAGGAATTCCATCACAATTATATCTATTTTCTTTTTTTTTTTTTTTTTTGTGATTCTGGGGTTTTGAACTTGGGACCTCATGCTTGCTAGGCAGGTGCTCTAACACTTGAGCCACTTTACCAGCCCTTTTTTTCAAATGAAACACTTCATGAATTTGCATGTCATCCTTGCACAAAGGCTATACTAATCTCTGTATCATTCCAATTTTAGTATATGTGCTGCTGAAGTGAGCACAGTTTACATCTAGTTTTTAATTGTATGAGTGACATGGGTCTTATAAAAACATAAAACTGTACAGAAGCTTTTCTCTTTTCATTGTACTGGGGATTGAACTCAGGGTCTTGCACTTGTCAGGTAAGTGCTCTATCACTTGAGTCACGCCACAAGTCCCAGAACCTTTAAAATAGAAAATGAAAAGCCCCACATAAACTCAATCCCCAGAAGTCCACTCATCATTTGCAGCATATTCCAAGTTTTTTCTATGCAAGTACATACACATAGACTTTTTTTTTTTTTTTTTTTTGCAGTCCTGGGGTTTGAACTTAGGGTTTAAGTGCTTGCAATGCAGGTAGTCTACCACTTGAACCACACCTTCAACCACAGATTTTTAAAATAATTTGGACTGGTAGAATGGCTCAAGTAGTAGAGTGCCTGCATAGCAAGTATGAGGATCTTACTTCAAGTCCCAGTACTGCCACAAAAAAAAAAAAAGACAATTTAATAATGTGTGATGTTATATAATTTAGTATATTTCTTACATAATCATATAATTTGGATATATTTCCATAGCAATACATACAGGATTGGACTTATACTGTTCCACTGCATAGAATTTTTACAATTTGATCTATTTGTCTTCTATTGGCAGACTTTTAAGTTGTTCCTAGCTTTTCTTTATTTATAATGAAAAACATACATCTTTGTACACTTCTACAATATTATTGCACATTAGATTCCCAGAACTAGAATCACTGTAAAAGATATGTCTATTTATATTTGTTATGGATATTAACAAATTGCACTTCAAAAGTGTTGTACTGCTTAAAACTGTCAATAGTTGATTTGATACTTTATGGTTACTACTTGTGAATCTGTTCTCCTTGGATACAGACATCACCTATGTCCATATTTTGCTTTATGTTTCTTAAAATTTCATCAACAAAATGCATCATAAAACAATCAAATCTAGTGCTAAAAAGCTTATAATAAAAGGCAGTAGCCTTCAATTCTACCTTCCAGACTTTTGGTTCTCACTCTTCAAGAGCAATCTCTTTCATTTTCTAGTTTAAGTATTTCTTTAGTTACCTCCTTTTTTTTTTTTTTTCTCCTCCACTTCCACCATCTCCTTCTGTGAACCCAACCTCCATCATGATGCTTTTTGTTTATTAAACAAATTTTATTTAATTTTATTTAAGTTTTATTTAGTAGGAGGCATGGCAAGGCCCTAAGTTCAAACCCTAGTACCACCAAAAAATTTAGTTCATATAATTAGTAAATTTACATAATTAAATTTCAAAAAGTTTAAGAGGATAGAGTGAAAAAGACTCCCCTTGACTGCTGCTTCCCAGGTATCCAGTTTCCCTTCCAAGAGGTAGTCACAAGTGTTTCTGGTTTCCTGTAGATCCTGGGTAAATGTTCAGTGCATATACAGGCATACCACACACAACACATGTGCAAGCACATTGATTCCCTTATAATGACACTTGATAATTTAGTTCACCCTCTACAAATGCCGTCCACAGTATTTAATAGCTGTTAATATTTTTTAGTTTTCTATCAGTTGTCTTTGTCAATAATAAAAGAATCCTAAGGGTTAAGGATGTAGCTCAGTGGTAGAGTACTTGCCTAGCATCTGCAAGACCCTGAGCTCCATCTCAAACATCACACAAAAAATATTTTTATTCCATCAACAATAGTGTTTTGAATCACTTTTATGCCAGGGCTCACGTCTATAATCCTAGCTTCTTGGGAGACAGAGATCAGGAGGATCACTGATTTGCCAGCCTGGGCAAATAGTTTGAGAGACCCTATCTTGAAAATACCTAACACAGAAAAGGGCTGGTGGGGCTCAAGTGGCAGAGCGCCTGCCTAATAAACATGTGGCCCTAAGTTCAAACCCCAGTACAGCCAAAAAAAAGAAAGAAAGAATATTAGCAACTTAATCTCTACCTCCACATTTCCTCCTCTTACTTCCTGGCAGCTGTACTCGTGTTTTTATATTGTCAAGGTCATATTCACATTCTATATAACTGTTTACATTTTTCATCTAAGGCTAATTCTAAAAATTAAACACCAGTAAGTAGCCCTAATATAACTACATTTATGAAAATATCATCCATGTACATAAATGACATTCCTTCTTTGTAGTTATGGAGTTACGTTCTTGGGCCTCTTGAAAAAGATGTTCCTAGTATCAAAATCAAATGGTTTTTCTTTCTTATATTCCATCAACTGCTTAAAATCATGTCATATTTTAGTTTGCTTCATATTTAGATTGTAATTTTATTATATAGCTTTTTATTTTTCTTGAAGTTCTCATTACCTTTCTTTTTTCTTGTTGACAAAATATTGATGGGCCTTCAACATATCCTCAAGTTTATACAGCCTTTCAAACACGCTACCTGTTGCCTAGAGTCCATTTCTCCCCCCTTGTCCCCGCAAAGACATTCCTCCTGGAGGCCTCCATCCTCCTGCTTCAGTCTGGAGTCATTGTTCTTTAGACCTGACGTACAGCTCTCAGCCTGGGAATTCCCTTCACTAGCCTCTGGGGTTGGATCCCTATTTCCTGGATCTCATGTCTTCCTCTTTCTTGGTTTTCTTCCTTATTTTGTTGGCATGCATTATCAGATAATTTCCTTAACAGTGGATATTTGGGAGGCATTTTGAGTCCTTGCATGTCTAAAAATGTCTTTATTCTGCTTTTATACTTGATGGTTCAACTGAATGTAGATTTCTAAGTTCAAATTCATATTTTCCCAGTTTTGAAGATATTCTTCAATTGTCTCAAAAATCCAGTGTTGTTAGTGAGAAGTTTGATTCCAGTTCCTTTGTTGGTGACTTGGTTTTCTTTCTTTCTTTTTTTTTTTTTCCTAAAAGCTTTTCAAAATAGTCTGTTTCTCTTTTGATTATTTCAGGTTTCACAAGGATGTGTCTAGTGTAAAACTTTTGTCATTTAGCCTATCAGTATTCTAGGACTTCTTTAACCTGGAGATTTGGGTACTTCTTCAGCTCAGGGAATTTTCTTCTATTATTTCTTTTATACCATCTTTCTCTCCATTTTCTTCCTGTTCTCTCTGGAACTTCTGTTCATTAGATGGGAGACCTCATAGGTTGATCATCTGTTTTCCTTATTTTTTCCCTTATATTTTCCTTTTTTCTGTCTTTCCCTTTCCTTCCTTTCTCTTCTTCTCACTCCATTTTTTCTTGTCTTCAGAGAGATTTCTTCAACTTTGCCACTGTTTTTTTGGAGGGGAAGGCTTTGAACTCAGGGCTTCATGCTTGCTAGGCAGGCTCTTGATTCATGCCCATTAGCAGTCTGGCAACTTTTTTATTGAAATTTTTTTTGAGCAGTCTTGCTTTTGTTGTTGTTGTTTAATGGATTAGGTTTTGTTTTGTTTTGTTTTTTGGGAGTGTCTGGGTATGTAACTCAGGCTGGCCTTCAACTTGAAATCCTCCTGCCTCAGCCTCTGAAGTGCTGGGGTTGCAGGTGTGCACCATCATAACCACTTTTCATACTTTTCAGCTCTAAGGCCTCTGTCTTGTGCAAGTAAAACATGTCATTAGTAAATGTTTTTTTCCTCATAGCATCCTGTTCTTATTTTAAAAATCTCTTTTGTTCCCTCAATTTATCTTTCCATAGGGGATCAATTTTTCTGTTTCATGCTGATAGTTTTCCACATATAGGTGGTTTCTTTGGTTATTTACTTATATTTAAGAATGAAAGACTGAGTAACAAGAGTGTGTTTTCCCTCTGCCATTGTTTCGGGGGGTAGGTTTGACTGGGAGTTGTAAGTACGTGGCCTGGGCATACTGGCAGGCTTTGCGTGAGGTGCCAGTTATCAGGCTGTTGGCCCCCATAGGTCAGAAAGTGGGGGTAGGGATATTGTTTGGAGATGCTCCCATTTCAGACCTCATTCTTCTCACCCAGAATATTCCATTCCTTTTATGAAGAGTCCTTCAGGATGGATTGTGTGAGGTGAATGGGGGAATAAAAGTACTGACTCTTATAAATAAATATGGATCTTTCTTTAATCCTGTTCAGCCTTGCTTCTCACTTTTACACTATGACAAATGTGTGCATTTCAAGCCAGAATCTCTCATGAGTCACTCTGGGAAGATTGCTCCCACCCCTAAGGCATCTCATAACATATTCTGGACCACTGCCTGTGGTTACTGAGCACTTAAATAGGGTACTCCGAATTGCAATGTGCTATCTAAGTACGAAGTGCCCAGATTCTGAAAATGTACTGCAAGTAAAGTAAAATATCTAATTAGTAAATTTCATTATATGTTGAAATAATATTTTCCATGTACTGGATAACGTAAAATAAAATATTAAAAATAATAATCTCTTAATGTGGCTACTAGAAATTTTTTAATTACCTGTGTTTCTCTCATATTTCTGTTGGAAAGCTCTGCTCTAGATGATGGCTTTCTTTTCATCTGTCAATATCTCCATCTACTTTCTAAATTTGTCACAATCATTTGTGTACTGTTGACTCCACTCACTTTTTTTTTTTTTTTTGCTAATATAGATTTATTTTCTACTTTTATACTGTAATGTATTGGATGGAAAGGAATCTGCCATCTTGCATATGAAGATGCTTCTAACTTCCGATCTGTCAGAGCAATCACTTACTGTCACCAAATAATGTAATTGATCACAGAAGCTGTCTGCATTCCTTCTTAGAGGCAAAGCCATGGAGCTTCTTAAGTACTTTCCTGTAAGATTGAATCTAAGTCCCTCCTAGTCTCATGTATGTTTCCCTTCATTTGCACAGGTATCCTGAAGAGTATCTGGAGATTCCATTTCAGCCCTCTTTCATGTCCTCACAGAATCACAGGCAACTTTCTTCTCTAAACAAAATTATATTGATCTTCTATTCTTACCCAGGCAATATGCAAGAACTTGTAAAAACACTAGTTTAATGCCTACCCAAGAAAAGAGACTCAATACAAGCAAAGGAAACTGAGGCTTGTAGAAGTTAAGTAACTTGTCCTAAATCACAGATTTCATAAGTGCTGGGATTTTAATTCAGGTCTCTTTGATCCAAAAGAGGCTTTTTTTTTTTTTTTTTGTGGTAGTGGGGTTTGAAATCAGGGTCTACATCTTGAGCCAGTCCACCAGCCTTTTTTTGTGAAGGGTATTTTCGAAATAGGGTCTCGAAAACTATTTGCCCAGGCTGGCTTCAAACTGAGATCCTATTGATCTCTGCCTCCAGAGTAGCTAGGATTACAGGTGTGTGAACCACTGGCCCTGACAAGGCTTTTCTTTTCTTTTTCTCTTTCTCTTTTTCTTTCTCAAGAACTATTTCCTTGGGCTGGCTCAAACTGAAATCCTGATCTCTGCCTCCTGAGTAGCTAGGATTACAGGCGTGAGCCACCAGCACCCCAGTACTGCCAAAAAAATATAAATAACTAAGCCTAACTATATAGTACATATCAGCAACAATGTAACTTTCTTTTCATGATGTTTTTAATCCATGGTTGGTCAAACTTGCAGATGCAGAATTCACAGATACAGAATATAGGCTAACTATTCTTTCTGGCTATGGGTCCATCTTGTTTTCTCTTCATATGGCACCAACCACATATTCAAAATACCCTAACTAATTAGTCCTATCCCTGCATGAAGGATGCTGCTTGAGGGTGGGGGGACTTGCACTGTTTTTTTTTTCTTTTTTGGTAGAACTGGGGTTTAAACTCAGGGCTTTATGCTTGCAGAAGAAGCACTCTACTGCTTGTGCCACACCTCCAGTTGATTTTGCTTTAGTTATTTTGGAGATGAGCCTTGTGAACTATTTGCCTGGGCTGGCCTCAAACTATAATCCTTCTGATTTTAGCCTCCCCAATAGCTAGGATTACAGGCATGAACCACCAGTGCCCAGTGATTTGCACTGTTTCAAGGGTCCATTTGAGTGCCTGGCACATAATAAGCTCAAAATAATTATTTGTTCCTGAGCTGCCATCTTCTACAAACTTAAAGGCTGCCTCTCATGTATGCATCCAATTATACAACTTTTGCCTCTTTTTTGTGCACTGTCAGTTCTTTAAATTAACTAATTACTGGTAGTGTTTTTTGTTTTGTTTTGTTTTAAATATCTGTCTTGATCTGTCTTGATCTGGGCTTGATCTGTCTGAAGCCCAGACAGAATTGCTTGAGCCCTGGCTCTGTTTCTTCCTTTGAGAATTTACTACACTGCACTGCACAGCTTCACTGAAAAGGGGGCAAAATAACAGTACCTAATGGATATTGTTCTTAGAAGAAAGAAAGAAGAGAATGCATATAAAGGAGTACAGTGCCTAGAACATAGATTCTGTCCAGTGAATGTGGGGGTGTCAAATTATATCACTAGGCTGTTGGGGCAGGGCTCCCTACTGTATTTTCAGTATTCAGCATGCACTCAGTACTAAGACATGTATTGAATGACTGGCCATTGGATGGAAGGCTGGATGTCTGGGAAGATGGGTAAATTCTACTCTCAGCATCCAGGAGGGTGAAGGCCCAGAGGGGAAAACAGAGTCTCCTCTAGGGCTGAGCACTGGGATCCTGGCCCATGGGCAGACCTGCCCTCATCACTGTCTTCCCCAGCAGGTTTGGGATGTACATTCCGTTTCTGCAGCTGAACTGTGATCTTCGCAAGACAAACCTCTTTAATCACATGGCCTCCATGGGGCCCCGGGATGCTGTCAGCGGCCTGGCAAGGAGTCGGGATTACTTGCTGACACTTCGGGAGACATGGAAGCAGCACACTCGACAGCTGTATGGCCCAGAAGCCATGCCCACCCATGCCTGTTGCCTGTCACCCAGCCTCATTCGTAGTGAGGTGGAGTTCCTTAAGATGGACTTCAATTGGCGGATGAAGGAAGTGTTGGTCAGCTCCATGCTGAGTGCCTATTATGTGGCCTTTGTGCCTGTCTGGTTTGTGAAGGTATGTAGTTCAGTGCAAGGAGAGAGGGTCTGGTTAGGACCTTACCTTACTGCCTGCCCTCTTGTTTGCATAAATAACTGCTGGCTTTTTGGGCAGTACTGGGGTTTGAACTCTAGGCCTTACACTTGCTAGGCAGGCACTCTACGACTTGAGCCATTCTACCAGCCCAATAACTGCTGTTTTTGATGGGATTTCTTATTTGTGCTTCGAAGACCTGAAGTAACTACTGTCTCCATTTTAGAGTGCAGAGAACAAGGCTCCCCAAAAGGAACTGACCTGCCCAAGGTCACCCAGTCAATAGGGAGACATGGTGTTGTTACTCATAATACTTGATAATAAAGAACAATAACTTTTTTATTTCAGTGGCTGTTTTGACACTAAGTCAGTGTCCAGCATGTGACAGTGTCCTGCTTTGCATTAAGTCGGGAAGCCAGGAGTTATCCAGATCTGAAAGACTTCAAAAGCTTGTACTCACTCTGTCTTACTTAAAGTAGCCTCCTGGGAAGGTACCTCAGCTGTAGTAGACTCAAAACATTATCCCAGGATGCACTTTACCTAAAGATTTAAGGTTGAGAGGACTAATGTCTGTTGAGCGCGTACAACATTCCAGGAACTTTCATGTGTATTATAATTCTCGTAATGTCTCTCGGAGGTGGTTGATAGTTCCTCTTATCCTCATTTAACAGATGAAACTAAAGCACAGACAAGTTAAATGACTTGTCACATGGTTAATATGCACCCAGGTCAAGATTGGAATCCACGTCTCTTGGATTCCAGGGCCTGCTCTGGCTAAGAGAAAGAAAATTTTCTTTGTAGGAAATTGACTGATGGGCACAGGATCTAAGCTGCCTTTGTTGGGTGTTTGAGTCTTGGTTTCAGACTATCTTGAGGTCTCCCCAGAACTGTCCTAACTTGTGAAGTGGGTAGATCAGGGAATGAGGCCATTATGGGCATCCCAAGCCTGACCCACTTCCTGCTGTCCCCAGAACACACATTACTATGACAAGCGTTGGTCCTGTGAACTCTTCCTACTGGTGTCCATCAGCACCTCAGTGATTCTCATGCAGCATCTGCTGCCTGCCAGCTACTGCGACCTACTGCACAAGGCCGCTGCCCATCTGGGCTGTTGGCAGAAGGTGGACCCAGCTCTGTGCTCCAACGTGCTGCAGCACCCGTGAGTTGCCCTACCCTGATTTGCCCAACCAACCTCTGCCCTTCTTTGCCCTCTTTCTCATTAACTCATTCATCCAGCTACTGAATAGCTACGGGAGCTTGCATCCAGAGTAGGATGTGATGGGGCCCAAGACAGACCTGTTCTCTGTCCTTGAGTTAGCTTGCAGTAAATTGGAGATAGGAGGAAGAAAGGTGGTAATACATGGACTCATTGACTCCCTCATTCACTGACTCATGTATTTATTCACTCATTGACCGATTTGCTCATGCATGCATTTATTTATTCATTCACTGCTTTATTCCTTTGTCACCTGCTCACTCATACACTCAATCATTAGGTTACCTGCTCTTTCAGTAGATATTTACTTCTGTTTAATCCATACCAGGCCTGGTGCTATATATCAGACAAAGGAACTGGCACTTTTACCTATAGGGAAGCATACCATCCCAAGGTGTGCTTCAGAAATACCACTTTGTGACAGAATATGGTGCTCTGTTAGCTGATAGTATATCCTGGTTAGGGAAGGAGGGCCACAGGGAAGAAATGATAGATGAGATCCTTAACAAGTTCACAGACTGGTGAGGCAGATACCCATGTACACAAATAGTTAGGATGAGTGAGGCAAAAGTGTCCTGGCTGTAGTTTAGCACTATACCAGGGCAGAGGCAGATGTCACTGTGCTCAGGAGCCCTGAGATCCTGTGCTATCCTTCCTTTAGCCTGAATCATTCTTCATTAGTGTCTAATATTTCTGCAGCCCTTTATCAAAGTACTTTTTGGCACAGGTTATACTAATTTTCCTTGCATTCCCCCATTAGACTGGAAGCTCCTTAAGGCCAGGACCGCCTCTGAATCACATTTGAGTCTTGGGCCAGGACAAGACCTGGCAAAGAGGAGGTCACTATGTCAGGTTTATAGAGATAATGTCCACCAAGGAACAAAAACGCAATAGGAAGCCACAGAAGCTTCGCCTCCTGTGTTGGCCCTCCATGCCAATCAGGGTCCCTTTCATGCTCTGCAAATGACTGGCATTGCTGAATGGGCCAAAAAGGGGCTTGGCTTAGCCTCAGTTTCCCCCATCCAAGTACTAACCAGGCCTGACCCTGCTTAGCTTCCAAGATCAGATGAGATTGGACACGTTTGGGTGGTATGGCTATAGACTTAGCCTCAGTTTCTGAAGGGAGTGGGGAGTAGAAAGAACGTTGCTGAATATGAGGAGTAACCTGCTTGCCTGTGGCTCACTGAAGTCTTCAGATAAGATCCAGGTTCCTTTGCATGGTTTCCCATCCACGAACTAAGTCCTGCCAGCCTTTTCTGCCTCGTCTCTTCCTGTGTCCCAGCTCATACTCTGCCCTAGCCACAACAAACCTCTTTGGGTCCTCACATGTTTTATACAATCTGCATCCAAATTTTTACCATGATATGTCTTTTGGTTGGATGCCCTTTCTTGCCTCCTTTTCTTGGCTAACACTTACCCTCTTTTAGCACTCTGCTGCCTCTAGGAGTACTTTCCTGACCACCCAGAGTGGGTTTAATACCATCCCCTATGAGGGGCCTCTCTTCAGTGCCCCATAATACCATATTCACTATACTTGATGCTTTCTGCTGTGTTAACTTAGCTTCCTGACTGCCATTCCAGGACTAAAAGCTCTGAAGGTCAGGGCTTTCACCTATCTAGCACTCAGCTGCCTCCTCTGTCTCACCAAAATGCCTGGCTTATAACAGGTACACTGCAATTTCTTTGTGGTTTTGTATACAGTTTTATTATTATTATTATTATTATTATTTTTTTTGGTGGTACTTGGGTTTGAATTTAGGGCCCATGCTTGCTAAGCAAGTGCTCTACCACTTGAGCCACACCTCCAGCTTTTTTTTTTTCTTTTTTGCTGTACTGGGGTTTGAACTCAGGGCCTACACCTTGAGGCCACTCTGCCAACCCTTTTTTGAGATGGGTTTTTTTCCAAGATAGGATCTCAAGAACTATTTGCTGGCTTTGAACCATGATCCTCCTAATCTCTGCCTGCTGAGTAGGTAGGATTACAGGCGTGAGCCACCAGTGCCCGGCTCCAGCTCTTTTTTTCAAGTAAAATTTACATAGAGTAAAATGTACAAATTGCAAAGTATACAATTCTTTTAGTTTTGATAAAGGCATATATATCATGTAACCTGCCCCCATAAAGATACCGGACATTTCTAGCCTCGTAGAAAATTTCCTCATGGTCCTTCTCAGTGACCTTCCTCTTCTCAAAACAACCACTCTTCTGCTTTCTTTCACCACAGATTAGTTCTGCCTATTCTAGGAGTTAATATAAATGAATATAAATGAAACCATAAGTAGATACTTCAGCTTCTTTCATTCAGCATGTTATCTGTGTGGTTTATCCTTGTGGTTGTATACAACACAATAACTAGTTTTCAAGCAAATGAACTAATAAGGCAGGAGTGTGAGTTAGGAGGGAGCTGCTTGTAGGCTGTGGTTCTCAGTCTCATGGGAGATCTCACAAGATACTGGAAGAAAGTTCACTGATGTCACCATCCCATTTGGCCTCTCAGTGCCAGGCTTTGTGGTATGCTGTGAGGACACAGGCTTGAATTGGATACTGTCCCCCCTCCTTAAAGGGTTCTCAATCTAGTGAGGATACAGACAGGTAAATAAATAAGTGACAAACACTAGGGAACGTGGACCAGTAGCAAGAGATTCCAGAAACAGTAAAAGTAGGCTCAGCTCTGGGGGTTTGAGAAAGGCTTTCAGGAAGGGCCTGGGTTTTGAAAGATGATGAGCTTGTCCAGGGATAAGTCATCAGGAAGATCAGTCTAGTTGGAGAAGGCAGCTTATGCAGGACAGGAGCAGTGCAGTGTGCTGGAGGAACTGGAAGAGCATGAGCTGTGTGGTGGGAGTCATGGGAAGCCACACAGGGTCTCAGAGACCATGTCAAATCAGGGGGTTGCTGGGAAGCCTTTAGTGCATTTTAAGCAGAGCATGGTCAGACTCAGCCTGGAATTTTATGGAGACCATCCAGGCTGCTGTATGATAGACCCATTAGATGCCAGAGGTAATATCAGATGAAACAAATGCACCCAGAGAGGAAAAAGGGTTTTCTTGACAATTCCTCAGCCTTAGACCTGCTGATTCCCAGTGCAGTGAATTTCTCATGGTTCTTTGCCCATTGTACAGAAGAGGCAGCTGAAACCCAGAAAAGAAAGTCACTGTGTTTTAAGCAATATAAATGGTAGTAGGACCCTGGTGGTCACCCTGTGCCCAAACATCTGGTATGCCCTTTTGTGGGTGAGTTGGGGATAAGAAGTACTTTTGGACTGTACCTCCAGGTGGACTGAAGAATGCATGTGGCCGCAGGGTGTGCTGGTGAAGCACAGCAAGAATGTCTACAAAGCAGTGGGCCACTACAACGTGGCCATCCCCTCTGATGTCTCCCACTTCCGGTTCCATGTGAGTCTCCTTTCCTGGAAAAGAGGGCGGGGCCTGATCTAGAAGGCAGGGGGCAGAGAGGATCAGCTGGGAGAAAGATGATATCACAACAAGAGAAAGCTATTTTCAGTATTTTCCAAACCCAAAGGAAAGCACATACAGCAGCACGAGGACAGCCACGCAGGTTATCACTTCATAACTGTGGCTCACTTAGTAGTGGATCTTTCAGAGCATTGTATGGAAGGGAAGAAGATCCTACAATAAAAGAAAGCGCTCTTGTCAGTGAAAATAATGATCATTCTTTGCTATGTGCCAGGTATTATGCTATGGACTTCTGGCACACCATTGTGTGTGAGAGAAACACCAAGGCTGTCCCTATTTTCAGATACGATACTGAAATTGGCTTAAAGAGATTAACTTACTCAAGGGTGCCTTTCTGGGAAACTTGGAAACTAATGGTAATGACACATGACTCAGCACTATGGAAAAGGGCTGCTCAAAATCAAGTAGGCTACTGGTCTCCATTTTATTTATTTTACTGTCAGAATCCCTGTTTTCAACACAGAGACCAAAGTCCAGTTTTTGGGTTTCATGGCACTGCTCTATTTGGAGAGGTTGAAACTCCCCTTCACTTCCCTCTCAGCTCTGCTGAAGCTCCTAAGAGACCATGTGAAACTCGTGGCTCTAAGGATTATAGTTTGAGAAATTACTGATCTGGGATGTTGCCTTCATTTTGCAGTTGAGAAATCTGAGGCCCAGAGAGGGAAAGGACTTGTCTAGACTCTTGTAGTCTGTCAGTGCAGAGCTGAGCCTAGCATCTTGGTCTCTTGAATTCCCGTTTCCTGCCACCTCTGCTCCTGTTCTGTAAGCACCTCTTGAGGTTAGTTAACTTGGTCTCTGCAGAATTGAGATTCCATAGATATTGAGCCCTCGTTTGAACTTAGCAGAAAAAAATTTTTTTGAGTCCTACATTCTACCTTGCTCTGAAACACCAGTTAAGAGTAAGGTGTTGCCATGCACCCTGGAAGTTTACAGCCTAGCTAGGGATCCTACCCAGGAATAAGCAGGTACTCAGGCTGTAGAGTTTATAGTAATTTTCCATGCTTTTGATCTCCGGCACCTCAAAATGAATAATTTTTTCCATGACGATGCCATAAGATTCTAAATTGTGCAGGGTATAGCTCAGTGGTATAGCAGCATTTATCTTGTATATGCAAGGCCCTGGGTTCAATCCCCACCATTGCAAGAAAATAGCAAAAAAGAGATTCTAACTTGTTCAGGCCCAGTGATTCCCAAGAGTATGACATATAAAAAGTTGATTTTAGGCCAGAAAAAGTTTGAAAGCAGGCAACACCTCTGAAGAAAGGCTTTCTGAAAGAAGTAGAAGTTGAACAGTATATTAGTCTATGTGGAAGCAGCACCTCTGTTAGGAGGAATACAGAAAGCAAAAATATAAGGTGGCAAAGTGCACACCCAAGTCTGCATGGGCCACAAGAGCTTTTCCCCTCCACTGGCCTACCCAAACCCCCCTTCTCCCATCCAGGAGGCAGTTTTCTGGAACATACCTTCTGATCCATACCTACCCTTTCCTGGGTAGTTCTTTTTCAGCAAACCCCTGCGGATCCTCAACATCCTGCTACTGCTGGAGGGTGCTGTCATTGTCTATCAACTGTACTCTTTAATGTCCTCTGAAAAGTGGCACCAGACCATCTCACTGGCCCTGATACTCTTCAGCAACTACTATGCCTTCTTCAAGCTGCTGCGGGACCGCCTGGTATTGGGCAAAGCCTACTCGTACTCTGCCAATCCCCAGAGGGATCTGGACCACCGGTTCTCCTGAGCCCCGGGGTGATCCCAGAGACAGCATCCAAGCTTCAGCCAGGGGCTCCCTGGCAAGGGGCTATTGGGAATGGTTGGGTGGGGGACAGAAAAAAAAAACAGACAAAAAAAATCCACCAGAGCTTTGTATTTTTGTTACGTACTGTTTTTTTCTTTGATAATTGATGTGATAAGAGGAAAAAAGTCCTATTTTTATACTCCCAACAAGCCTGTGTCCTGTGGTTCTTTCCCTGTCTTGCCTGTCAGTTAGAGAGCCAAAGATTTGGGATTCTGGGCTGGGATGTTCCACATGTGGCTACTGGAGCCTCGGTGGGCTCTGCCTTCTCAAATGGACAGGAAATGAGACACCAGAGGCCATGGTACTGTGGATTCTGCTGCCAATTGAGTGCTCACTTTGATTCAGATGCTGTTTGGTGTGTATTTTAGGCCTTGTAAATCTAACTTTTATGACAACCTTAGGAGTTGTGTGCTGACACTCCTGCAGATGAACTGGAGATTGGAGAGCTACAGTGACTTGCCAGTGATAACACAGCTAGAAAGTGGGAGAGCTGGGCATAAAAAAAAAAAAAAACACCTTTGAAAGATGACACTACTGACCTAGCAGAGTGCAGTGTCTTAACTCAGCATGCAGTCACTGCAGTCCTGCTCTGTGCCATATACTGTGGTAGATGGTATGGATGCCAAGACACAGAAACAAGCAGTACTACTCTGGGATTAGTACAACAGTTACAAGGTACAGAGTATCAAAGGGGAGAGAATGTCAATGCTCTCTGGGTTTCTTGGAGGAGGGGATAATCCTAAAATTAATCCCAAATTGGATTAGTCACTTCACAGATGGACAAGAGGAAGAAAGGTATTCCAATGAAAGAAAAGGGCACACCCACTGGCACATAGATGTGGAACACCCTGGTATGTTTGGGAAGGATAAGCAGAATGTGGTTCCTATAGCAGGAAGGATAAGGAAGCAGGAAGGCTGGGAACATCAGCAGAAGCTGGATGGTGGAGGGCAATGACCTTAGGTTAGGAAGATACATGTGAGCAGGGCCAAGTGCTAGAATGGAAACAGCTGCTTAGAGGGTCACCTGGCTCACAGGATAGGATGGAGGGCTCAGGGACAGACAGGAGCAAAGATCCAGACATGCCAGGAGTTGGTGGCTCACACCTGTTATCCTAGCTACTCAGAGGCAGAGATCAGGAGGATTGTGGCTAGAGGCCAGCCTGGGTGTATAGTTAGTTGAGACCCTATCTCAAAAATACCCAACACAAAAAAAGGGCTGGAGGTGTGGCTCAAGTGGTAGAATGCCTGCCTAGCAAGCATGAGGTCCTGAGTTCAAACCCCAGTACTGAAAAAAAAAAAAAGAATCCAGACAGTCATAGACATTCTCTTCTATACAGCCCACATTCTTTGAACTCTACTAGCCACAGTTCACACAGGTGGATGAAAGACACCTCAACACATGGTTTTAATAGTTGCAAAGATAAAGAAGATCTGTCTCTCCTTCAGATAACAGAGAGAGATAGACACAGCTTGTAAACAAATTAAGGTGTGAAATGCTAAGAAAAACGTGTCCAGGTCACCGCAAAGAGAGTGCAGACACTCCCACTGGAGAGACAGGCTTCTCTGAAGAGGTGGTGGCTGAGTTCTGTCTTGAATAGTTCACCACAGGATCAAGGAGGGTAAGGGAACACACTGCATTCGAAGTAGAGGGAACAGCATATGCAAAGGCACAAAACAGGAGTGAATTTGGGAAAAAGTGGCTCTCTAAATATGGTTGCAGCCTGGGTTGCCTGGTGGCAAGAAACCCAAAAGCTGGTAAGGACAAGCCTGTGAGCCAGATTGAAATGTTTGGGCATTACCTAAGAGCAGAGTGGAAGTTGCTAATAAGAGTGACCCTGTAAGGTCTCTCTCTTTCTGTCTTTTTTTTTTTTTTTTTGGTGGGACTGGAGTTTGAACTCAAGCCTCTGCACTTGGAAAGCAAGTGCTCTATCTCTTGAGCCACACCCACAGCCCAGGGTCTCTACTTTTAAGGAGATAGGTGAAGCCGGATATGGTGGTACACATCTGAAATCCCAGCAGTGGGAAGTCTGGGGCAGAAGGATTAAGAGTTCAAGGCCAGCCTGGGCTACATAGACCCTGTCTAAAAAATAAAGTGCAACATCAAATGGGGTTTTGCGTGGTGGGCCTGGGTTTAGTCTTAACCAAAAGGCTTCCCTTTCCCCTCGCTAGACGCCTGTAATCCTAGCTACTCAGGAGGCAGAGGTCAGGTGGATCGCGGCTGGAAGTCAGCCCAGGGAAATAGTTCCACAAAACCCTATCTAGAAAATACCCATCACAAAAAGGGCTGGCAGAGTGGCTCAAGGTGAAGGCCCTGACTTCAAGCCCCAGTACCGCAGCAAAAACCAAAAAACCAAAAAACAAAACCCCTCGCTAGTTGATGTTTTTGTTTTTTGGGGTTTTTTTCCATTTACTGGGGCTTGAACTGTGGGCCTCATGCGTGCTTGCTAGGAGCCAGACCGCCAGTCTCTGATTTCATTATTTATATTCAGCTCAGGGTCTGTAACTGGCCTTAATTAGTTAAGAAAGGGGTACGTTTCTGGGAGGAAAAGTCTGCGGAAGGAAGCCTCATCATAAAGAAGAAATAGTCGCAGAACCATCTTGAGAACTTGGCACGCTTGATTTTCTTTAGCATGTATCCCTCGCATTCTCCTTGCAGCCACTGCTTTCACATTCCATCCCTATTCCTCACTTTTAGCTGCTGCGGTCCCTTTAAGCGCGCGCCTTTGGCGTCAAGGCGGCGGGGGAGGGGTGGAGGAGGGGCAGGATGAGACGCGTTTCGTACCGGGGTGGAATGTATGTCCGTCTCGGGCCACCGTCCTGCAGGTCCGCCATATTGTCTGCTGAACCTACCGCTGAAGGTACCGCCGCTGCCGCCGCCGAGTCTGAGCGAGCGGAGCCGCGATGGGTAAGTAAGGAAACCTGGCAATTGGGTCCTCGGGCTGAGGGCGTGAGGCCATGAGGTGACGAGAGCCTGTGTCCGGCCTGCGGAAGATGTCCACCGCCTCTGCAAATAGGCCTGCGGGGAGAAGCCCGGCCGGAGTGCCTCTCAGGCCAGTTTGGGGCCGGGCCAGGGCCTTTCGGGGAGCAGTCCAGGGGGGCCGGTTCCAGGAGACACCTTGGCACGCCTGGAGCCCCCACGTGGTGGCCGGGGCCGGAGCGCCCGCGCCCCCAAGGGCTGGGAAGGGGCCCGCCCTGCGCTCCGGGCTGGGGACGGGCCCGGGCGGCGGGCCTGCGCCGCTAAGGGCGCCTCCTCCGGGCGTGTTCGGCCGACGCGCTTCCTGACGGGCTTCAGTGCCTCCCCCGGCTCGAAGGAGTCCCATTTAACGCCGTGGGGCACAGTCCTCTGGTGAGGGGACGCCTGGCGAGCCAGCTGCGGACCGGTAGCCAGGGGCAGCCGGGCTCGGGGCAGCCGGGGCCTCTGAAGGCCAGAAGAACTTCCCGAGCCCGGGCCGATATGGTGGTTTTGTTGCGCTCCCGAGTGACAGCCCTCGTAGTGTTGGACAACCAAAGGCCAAGACCTCTTGGCCACACGTAGGTCGCGGACTTCAGGTGTCTGGTTAGGAGAAAAGGAGCGACCTGTTGATCTTTTTTGCGGGGACTCTGGGTCTCGGTCCAAGGGAATATGATGGTGAAGTCTTTGGATTTAGAGACAAAACCAGAAGTGGTAATTTCTCTGCAGCAGTTAAAAAAAAAAAACTCTTAAGTCTGCTACTCTTTGTGTGCAGGCATTGTTCTGATTCTTTACACGACTCAGTTTACTTAATTTGTGTACAACCTAGTGAATAGGTATTGTCGCTATCCCTATTTTACAGATGGGAAAGTTGAGATTTGGAGAGGTAAAGTAACCTACCCAAGGTCACACAGTTAGTGACTAAACCAGGGCAAACACTCCTAGGCCCTACTACTGCTTTTTAAAATGGTTCTGGCCCTCTAGCGGTTGGGCTGGCAGAAGGGGAAAGAAAGCTTTTATCCCTACATAAACTTGTCAAGGTGTTTTTCCTAGTGAGCCTGCTTTGAAATGTTTAGTCTGACCAAAGTTGAAAAAGTCCAGAGTGAATTGCAGACTCCAGCTATTTTGTGTGCAGGGAGCTAAAGGAGATTCTGACATTTTTTAAGATCTCTGATCCTGAGGACATACATAAATTGTTCCCTTGAGCTGCAAGGCAGTGACTTTAGAGTCAGATTTGGTATTATAATCAGGCCTGCCACTTCCTCTCATCCAGAGAAGTCTCTTAATTGATAGATGAAACAATGCCTGTGGAAGCATCTAGCACAGTCTACAATAAATGTTAACTTTCCATTTCTGACACTTCCTTTCCTTATCTCTAGAAAGGGGAAGAGTTGCGGTGTTACCCAGGTTTGGGAGACTAAATTAGATAACACAGTGTTTGCATACAAGTAAGGGCTGTGTAAATATCAAAACAGATTCTTTTCCATATCCAATAACGTTAAGCACTCTGGTTTCCAGAATTCTCTGGAAATGCTAAGATTAATAAGCCTGTGTTATGGCTGTAGCTTTATGTATCACTGAGCTTTGGGACATAGCTCAGTAGTAGACCACTTTTCTACCATATGTGAGGCCCTGATTTCAGTCCTTAGCACTTTTTTTGGTTTGTTTGTTTTTGTTTTGTTTTTTATTTGCTTTAATCCATAGCACTTTAAAAAAGGAATTTTTTTTTTTTGGCAGTACTAGAGTTTGAACTCAGAGCTTCATAATCACTAGACAGGTGCTTTACCAATTGAGCCACTCCGACAGCCCCTAAAAAATGGGGACTGGAAATATATAGCTCAGAGGAGAGTGCTCGCCCAGTGTGCACAGTGTCATGCGTTTGATTCCCAACACTGCAAAGACCAAAATGATATTATATGAAGAAAAAATTTAGGAGCATTTGTATTATAGATAGACTTTGTACTGGTTTTCAGTGAAATTAATTTTTATAGATTGGGAAACAGTCTCAGAGAAGATAAGCAGCCAAATCAGGAGCAAGATTCTTGCCCATTTTTCCTGCACATGAACCTCTCAGATTTAAGTTGTTAAATAAAATTAGTATTTTACTAATTAAAATTTACTGTTAAAATTCAAGATGGAAATTCTTCAGTGGAACAACAAAACCCGACCAAGGTCCTGAAGAGAATTTTAGTATATAGAGTCAGGTAACTTCTCCCTTTCCAGCTCTATCTCCTGTCTCTTTCCCCCTGTCCTACTTTGTCTTTTTCTGTCAGCTTTAAAAAAAAATCTTACTAATGGAAGATTACTTACTAATGGAGATGGAACTAATGTAAGGATATATTTAATCCTAACAGCTAATCCACTATAGTTTGGGTAATCTCCATTTACAACAATAAACTGAGACTTTGAAAAGATTATGTAACTAGTCAGGGCTGGTAATCTAGGCCCTTTGAGTCCTGGGGATAACACCACCTGCCCTCTTGAGAACCTGCTATATTTTGCTACCTCTCAGGTATACCCTCCTCCAGTTCTTGGCCTGTATTCTATACTATTTCTACTGTGCCAAACTTGACTATCCCTAACAGACCTTTGTAGTGGTTTCACTGCATTAGGAACACTCTATGGATGATGCTTACACTCTGGAGGGTGCTTTATTTAGATCCTTCCTAGCAAAGACTTCAGTCTCATGAGTTTTGGCAGGTACTGGATGTCTTATCACCATTTTCACTACTTTGCTGACTTGGGAATCTGGCAACCCTTCCCCAACTCCAGGGGGTAGGTCTTGATATAAACTCTAACCAGTCATTGTAATTCTATCTCCCTAGCCAATGATTGATTTAGATGGTGACATATTATTCAGTTCTGGCTAATTAGATGTGAGGGGAAGCCTGGGAGACTTCTGGAAAAAACTTTCCTTACTTAAAAGTGATTTGCTAACTTTATAAAATTATTTGCCCATTTGTACTTTAACCTAGGTCTCACCAAAGTGGGACAGCCTCAAAAAAGATAGAGATAGGAAATCTATATTAGTAATAGCTAATGCTTATACAGAACTTGCTAAATGCTGGGTGCTCTTCTGAATACTTTATATATTAACTCATTTAATTCTTAGGTTCTCATGTTTTAGTTGAGGAAACTGATGCACTGAATGAGTGGCCTAGTAACTGAAGCAAGGTCCTAGCTAGTACAGTCATGTATCATATAACATTTCAGTCAACAACAGACTGCAGTTGTGATGATCCCATAAGATTATAATGAAGCTGAAAAATTCTAATTGGCTATTGAACATACAGCTGAAAAAGAAGCTTTTTCAGACCTTAACAAACTCTTAAAAAGTTTAAAAACATTAGTGTGGCACAGTGGGGTGCACCTTTTGTCCCAGCCACACCCCCAGGACTTTTTGCTTTAGGTTTTTGGGTGTTTTGCATCTCTGGGGTTTGAAGCCTTTCCCAGCCCTTTTCTCTGATGGATTTTTTTGAGACAGAGTCTCAGTACTTGCCCAGGGCTGGCTTCGAACCTTGATCCTCCCTGTCTCTGGTTCCCGAATAGCTAAGGTTACAGGTGTGAGCCGCTGCCACCTGTCTGCTTTATTTTTATTTATTTTTGCAGTACTGGGACTTGAACCCATGCCTACACCTTGAGCCACTCCACTAGCTTCCCCACCCCCTTTTTTTTTGTGATGAGTTTTTTCAAGATAAGGTCTCAAGAACTATTTGCCCAGACTGGCTTCAAACCTCAGTCCTCCTGATCTCTGTGTCTTAAGTAGCTAGGATTACAGGCGTGAGCCACCAGCACCCGGCCACCTGTCTGCTTTAGTTATTTGTGAGTTAAGGTCCCACGTTTTTGTCTGGCTGGCCTAGGCCACAAACCCATTTAACTTCCCACATACCTGGGGTGACAGGTATATACCACCATGCCTAGCTTATTTGTTGAGATGGAGTTTCATGAACTTTTTGCCCAGGCTAGTCTGGGACTGTGACTCTCCATCTCCATTCCTGAGTAGCTGGGATTATAGGCAGGAGCCACTACACCCAACTCTCATACTTTCTTTTGAACTGCTAAATTAGCTAACTTTGGCACTGTCTTATTTCAGGGCTAAAATAGGGTAATGAAGGCCACTTCTAGCTTGCTTTTGACTGCAAGCAACAAAACCTTTTTAACCGATAACCTCGTGGTCAGAGGAAATTTGCCACATCTCTTCTTTTAGTTTCTCTCCAGCCTTATCTAACCACCCAACAGTTGTCTCACATACTTTTAGAGAAGGAACTAAACCACTGATCACTACCTGGGTGTCCCACAAGAATCTTAATCACTCCCTCTTCCTGACCTGCATCTCGCATTTTTGTTGATGATGGCACAATTGGCATAGACACTAAGATAGAAACCTTATCCATCTTTGATTCTTTACCCTTTTTCTTGTCTTTCATGTGGTAGATATTGTGTGACCCAGAAACCGAGGTCTCCCCTGAATTTCTTTGTATAGTAATTCAGCATAATCTCATAAAAAGTATTCTATGGCTTTTAACCTTGCTGAGTCTTAGTCTCCTCAAAATGAATATATGGATAATGCTGTTTTTAAGTTTCAGTGAAATAGTGGATATCAAAAAACCTTTTGTGAGCTGGTTGTGGGGTAAGATGCCTGTAATATCAGCATTCAGGAAACTGAGGCAGGAGTATTGGGAGTTCAGGTAGTTCAAGGCTAGCCTGGATTACATAGTAAGACAAAAAAAACAAAATGCTGTAAATTGTAAAGGTATTATTACTTCAAAATCCTCCAGACTAATTTTTCTCTTGCCTCCTCTATCATTGCCAGTTCTGCTGCAGCAGTATTAGTTGATCTTGTCCCTCTACTACTTAGCTTGGGAATCTTCACATACTCCTAAAATCCTGACCCACAGGATTTGTCATTCAGAGTTTTCCTCTCTCTCTCCCTTTGGCAGTACTAGGTCTTGAATTCAGGGCCTCATGCTTGCTAGGCAGACTCATGGTTTTCCTGTTTACTTTTCTAGTCTTATTCTACTTAGCAGTTATCCATATATCCTCTTCTGCTCAGATTTCTCCTTTGTTACTTAAGTCTTCCTAGTGGAGAAGGTGGCAAAATCAGTCCTCCTCCACTCATATTTTCCTGTGGAAATCTTTCATGTTTTTCAAGATATAATTTAAATGCGAGCTATCTCCTTTATGAACCCTTCCCAGATACTCTTGTCTTCCACGTTGGAAGGGAACTCTCTTGAGTTCTGTAGCACTTTGTTCTTACCTTTCATGTAGACCTTTTCATTTCCTTTCTTGTATTAGTTACTCTGAATAATTCATTCTTTGACCAGTTACATAATCTGCAGTATTTTTTGACTCATCTCTCCCTTTTTTTTTTACAATACTGGGGCTTGAACTTAGGGCCTGCACCTTGAGCCACTCCACCAGACCTTTTTTGTGATGAGTTCTTTCAAGACAGGGTCTCTTGAACTATTTGCCCGGGTTGGATTACAAGCATGGAGCCACCAGCACCCAGCTTGACACATCTCTTAAAATAGGAATAATAGGATTGTTAATGGGATTTAAGTGAGGTATGTATGTGCAGCATTTCAGCATGGTGCTCAGCACATAGTAAATATTCAGTAACAAATGGCTGCTAGTCCCTGAACAAAGTGATTTTTTAAGTGTGTTGGGGGGCAGGGGGGAGAAATGACCCAAGCCTTGTATGCACATATGGATAA